ATGCCATCCAGAAGATCCTCGGCTACTTGAAAGGGACTAGGGACCTCGGCATCACCTACCAACGGGGATCGGGGTTAGCGCTGACCGAGTACGTAGACGCTAGCTACGCCGACACGGAGGATAAGCGTTCGGTGTCAGGGTGGGCGACGACGGTTGGAGGTACCGAAGTCAGCCATGGTTGCAAGACACAGAGCATCGTGTCTTCGACGGAAGCCGAATACATTGCTGCCGGGGAGGGCGACAAGGAGGCGTTGTTTTGTGCGTGCTGTGCTTTCGTTTGTTGCCCCAGCGACCAGTGTTAGCAGCATCCAGGTCCTCGAGGACAACCAGGGGGCCATAGCGTTGGTGCAGAACCCCCTCAGCTCAGGTCGCACGAAACATATCGACGTGAGATTTCATTTCATCCGCGGATTGTTTCGGTTGGCGAATATTTCGGTCAAGTTCGTTCCGACAACGGAGCAACACGCGGGCCTCCTAACCAAGGCCCTTAGCAGGGCTAGTCTGCAGTACCACCGGCGCAAGTTGATGAATTTGCCGGAGTAGCTGTAGCAGTTTCTAGCACTCGGAAGAGGTCATGTTTTCCATGCGGGGAACGGAGCATAACTGTTTGCGGTCTGTGTACCAATTGTAGGAGTAGGGGGCGTTGGGAGACCATCGTCAAGGGGAACGTAGTTCCTCGCGTTCTTGTTTTCGCCTTGGCCGTTCTAATAAGTGTGGCCGTGGTGATCCGCTGTGATAGCGACGGTTTTTGTGGTTTTTTTAGAGGGGCTTTGCCCGGACGCCGGGTTTCCCGTCCATATATTACCAGTACACCGGTCGCCCCGGTGGTCTAGTGGTATCCTCGTCATCCGCTAGTCGCAGAGGTCGTGAGTTCGAATCCCAAAAATTTACGAAATCTGCGGGGCATGAAAAGAAATAAAAAGAAATAAGCCCTGGTGTTTACCCCCTCCTGTGTGACCCTGGATGGTTGTAGTTGTACGAACAAATACATTGAAAAGTGTAATACTCTACATACGCTGAAAAGTGTAGTACACGTCTCACCANAAAAATTTACGAAATCTGCGGGGCATGAAAAGAAATAAAAAGAAATAAGCCCTGGTGTTTACCCCCTCCTGTGTGACCCTGGATGGTTGTAGTTGTACGAACAAATACATTGAAAAGTGTAATACTCTACATACGCTGAAAAGTGTAGTACACGTCTCACCACGAAAAATGGGGGGACGGTAGCCATCATAAAAAGGACGAGAACACACAACACACACATCACCATGGTGGTATTTTCTGATGTATCCAGGGGCGTTCTTGCCCCATTGATGGTTAGTGACTTGCTTGAAGAACCAGGGAGGGTGTTCGTGGGTCTGCGAACATTGGTGTTGGATA